TTTAGAAAATATTTATTTGACTCAAATGAATGGTCGTCTAATTTAAGAAGCACTTGTTCTTTCTAAACTAATGGTTTTACATAAAAATAAGTACTTTGTGGTTTGGCAAAATGTCAAAGATAGTTTAGATGATTTCCTTAAATAAATGAATAGACTGGATTCGACATCAAATTTGAAAAGGAGGATAATATGCCTTTTTGGGTTGTCGTAGTTACTGAATAGGGAACATAATTTGAAAGAGATCTGTATGTGAAACTAGTAAGCGCCAATTTTATTCATACATTTTTTAGCCATCTAGATATCTTTGCTTCGCCGATCTGTATCACCAGAAAGGAAAGGAAATAATTATTATTATACAATACTGGCAGATCTTAAAAGGGATAGACCAAATGATGGAGAATTGTGAAAAGGGAATATTATATGTGGCGAAGAAAATACTTCTTTGAAATTCCTTCTATTTGTAAATTTTGAGACCGATTCTTCAGAGCGGGATGTTAAAAGGGCATATATTACTCTTGTAACGTATATGAGGAGAAGGATGGACCTATAGACACACACATAAGAGACTATTTAATCATAAAATAGCGTGCAAAAAGTTTTGGAGTTCAAAAATCTGAACTCGCTGAACACGTGGATTGCATAGTTGAGAAGACTTCACTTTATTTTTCAGCTCAATAAAGTAAAGTGAGCATTGTTTTGTAGTAAAAATAGCTCTAAATCCCATTGCATAAGCAAACGATCTGTTGTAACTCAGCAAATTTTGGTCGATATCGAATGGTTTGGCAAAACTATGCTGTAGCTTAAATTAATAAGTTAGGGGCATCTATTCAGAAACTGATATATCTTATGTGGGGTACAAAGTTTCTCGACTTCCTTTTTAGTATGAAATTATCTTACATCATAGGATATGATAGATGATTATGCATATTTTTAAATAATAATCATTACAGATAACTTCTAAGATGTAGATTTTTAAGAAAATTTAAAATTACCTGATGACAGTGTAGTTGTTGTGGCCTCACGAGCATTGCCCATGCCCCCTCCAACGCCCAGTTCGTTTGGCTTCGTATAAGCTGATATAGATTGTTCATATAGCGTAAATGGTTGAAGACCACTAATCAATATACTATTTAGATTTCCGGGTACGGTAAAGACCAGATTTGTGGCAGTAGGGTCACTCAGTTGAACAATGCTTATCTTGTAGCTTTCAAGCTGGCCATTTGTTACATCAGGCGGGTCCCAATTAAGGATGAATGAAGTTGACGTTAGTTCAGTGACAAAAATGTTGTTTGGTGCCTCTGGAGCTGTAATAGTGCATAGAAGAATGGATAAAATAGTCCTCATACCAAAGTCTCCTAGTGAGGTCAACCTCACTTGGATAAATTTCGTCGATATGTTGTGTGATGAGCTTAAAATTCTACCATTTCCAAGTTTATTAATCTTATATTTTGAATTAAAATGTTCTGAATTTAAAGGGTTTTTCTCATTCAGAGTGGACTGTAGTTTTGGCAAAATACTCTGAAAAATTAGACACTGGATGTCTGTCTCAATAGTATCACATTTTCTTGTACATGCAAAAGCCATACAATTTGTTGATACTGAGAGAATTTCGATTAATTTTTATATACGCCCTGCAGGTAGATGATGATGTGTTATGAATAAGGCCGTATAAAGCAAAATGGTATAATGAGCCATGAATTCTTGTTTTCCTTATGAATTTGGCAACGTAGAGGCAAGTTTCACCCGCCAGTCTCAGTTCGAGCATAAAATAATCTTCAAATACAATAAATAATTGCTAATATTAAAGTCACTTTTTCCCATTTCTTTTCCTAGTGGATTCCAATTAACAACAAATAA